TTGAGGACTTCAAAAGATATATTTTGTTTAGATATAAATTGTTTACACTGAGACTTAGACTTAGACTTTATTGATCCACAAGAGAAATTATTTGAGTTTATCACTATGGCAACCTATGGATAAAATGTCGCTACCATTAAATAAAAACTAACAATCTTTGAAAAAATAAATAATGGAAAGCCCAAACAGACAGACCAACCTTTAATTTCAGTGTGACCGTCTAGACATGTGATCCAGTGCCTTTAACTGACCAGCGCTGACCCTGCCCTCTTCTCTCTCCTAAAAGTGTGCCGTCTCCTCCCCTCCATCTCCCCCTGTCATTACAGCAGTGACTTCAACACGAAAACAAATGCACCCTGCCCCATTTGAGAAAGACCCAACTCTACCATTAAAGACCCCAAAAGAACCCCTCTGAACGAGTCTTTGAACCAGAACTCATCATTGTAGGGTATTTAACCAGCCCAGAGGCACACATAATTGGCACACGCAGATAGGGCGCTCCCAGGCCCCTGCTTAGACCTTGTTGTTTTGGTTTCCCAACAATGCAGCCATTCTGTCCTGATTTAGACTGTCCGCACATGCCCAGTGGGTAAACTTACGGATGCATAATTATAGAGCGGAGAAGCCACAAGAATCTCATGAAATTCATTTATTTATTCTATAAGACTATAAGAAAATAGAAGACAAACTGGAAAAGCGATTACAGTGTCCATAAATCGGTAAGCCTCCCACTGTATGTAATGATTTGTACCTGTTCTGACCCCTAGTGGTGCAATATTAAAAATAAATAAATTTTTTTTTTTATCTTGATCTACTGTTGGATCTTGATCTATTGTTTCCTCATAGTTTCTTGTTTCATTCACACAAATTCTTCTCTCAAATTGTCATGTGGTGCACTGTTTTTAAACTCCATACTCCTTCACTAGAATCATTTGGATAATTTCAGCTCTGGAAATTCCAATCTCTATTGAACTAAAGGTAAAAGATAGCTGTTAACATGAAAACTACCACTGCAAGACATCACAAAGAGGAATAGAAGCTGAGCTTTGGAGATAGACTAATAAGACTAATAATAAAGGATTACTCAAACATGTGTGAATGAAACAAAACATAAAGCCAGGTATGTTTTTGATGAAGTAACTCCATTCTGACACAGCTTAAAGCTCAGAAGAGTCAGTTTTGTGTAATATAAGACATTTAACAGCACTTTGCCCTTCTTGGTCGAAGTCTGATTGTATGAGATTCTTTTCAGTTAGAGTATTTATGTAAATACAAAGTGTGTGTTTATTTAACATGATAAGCTTAAGTGGGAAGAAGTCGACAAAAGTTTGTTTTTTACTTCATCATATTTGCAGAGCCATCAAATATTAGTGGATGCACAGGCCTAAAAGGAAGAACAAATAATTCCCTCAATAATAAGCGTATCACAATAGCGCCCTCTGTGTAAAATAACAATTATAACGGTTGACGTGACCTGGTAGCTCAATCATAACATATTAGGAGAAAAAGAATAACACTGGGTGTGTTGGCGTTAGCATGTTAGCCTGCAGCTCAGTGTTATCGAGCTCATCTCCCTCGCCGACCAGCAAAGACCTGACAGGTTTTCTTAGCTCCCATCATGCACAGCTGAACCATAACACTACCTCTCACTGCAGCTCTGCACGGTTGTTTTAGCGCAGTGGATGTTTGTTTTACCCTTGTTAATGTTGTTAATGTGCTTGTGAACAGAAGGCCAAGGCAACGAGGAAGCATGACGGTACAAATCCGTGCTTTCCCAATGCTGACTGCTGCAATGTCATGTAAAACTTGTAAACATCTCAATGTCACTCAGTCCTAATTGATGCGCAAGAAAAAATATGCAAGGTTGCAAAGACTCCACTTGCTGGTGCACTGAGGAGTGAAGCAGTTTTTAAGGAGGCAATATAAATACAGAACTTGGATTGCATGGGTGAAATTTCTAGGTGAAAATTAGAACAGTCCATCAAAAAGGTGCTCAAATATGCCTGTAATTGTCATAGTTTTGACTGAGGTTCAAGAATCACGCAAACATTTTTTTTGTTGTTTTTTAGACTACACTACTGTATATTCTAATTTTACATACCTTCAAAATAGCTATTGCAATATTAGCTATTTTTCTATATCCCCCACCTCTTCTTCCCAACTTAAATGTGAATAAGTAACACCAATGTATTCTGGGTAACCATTAGCCAGGCACTGGGTAATTGAACCAGATTGATAATGTTGTTTGTAGAGTAATGAACTGACTAAATGACTTTCATAAGTTCAACAAACTGTACATCACTGTTCATTTAAATAATGGGATCTTGTCCAAGGTTTACTGACACCAAGATCTTATATGAAGTGTCTTTTTTTTCCCTTTGACGTTCATGTAAATAATGCATGTATTTGAAATACAAATGGGCATTCCTTCTCCAGAAATCAGATGAAAAGACTTAGGACTAGAGTTAAAATTGATCTTTAAAGTATCACCTATTATAAAAATGCATTCTTAAAAAGTAGAAAGCCTCTGCTTCTCCCAATTATTAACTATTAGCTTACTGTACTCTGGCAAAGATTCTGCAAAGCAACAGGAGTGTGTGCAGAGTGGAGTGGGGTGTTTTTTTTTTGTTTTTTTTGTTTTGCTTTGTTTTGTTTTTTGGGAGGGGTGTGTGTTTTGTCTGTATGTTTTTTGTTTTCTTAAAAGTGAAAATCATTATTAATTATTATTTTACCAGCATGCTGCAGTTAATTAATTATTTTCATCATACTTTAAAGTTAATGTGATATTGGCAGTTACCTCAACTCCATCATATTCCTGTTCCAGTGCGCTGCAGTACTGAGGAAGTCCCACCTGACTCAACCATCTGGAGATCGACTGGTGCTTCATTGTGAAACTTGCACTTGATCAGTTGGATGTTTTCAACTAATCAGTAAATGTACCTAAAAAACAAATGGGAGAACATATTACTGACATTCAACAGTTACATAAAAAGGCTACACTGTTATCTCTGTGTTGGAAAAAGCTGGGAAAAGAGCATTGGCAAGGGTGCTATAGTTAACTAGTTGGATTATTTGTTAATACAAATCATAAATCTTACTCCTTTCAACAACACAGTAACTTTTTCAGATCAGATGAAAAGGGATTGTCTGGACTGACTGACGTCTCAAAGGAACTAAAGGCATTCTTGTTGAACCTAAAAAATTCAACATATGGAAGAAAAAGGACTATTTCCTCAGTAATTCATATTACTGTAAATGAGCAGAGGTTGGTGTCTCAGAGAAAGAGACGTGTCATTGGAGAGACCCTTGTTCTAGTAAAGGTGTGACTGAGCACCCTGCGCCCCTCCACCCCCTCCCACCCCCATAACCCACCTCTGTACCCCACTCAATCTGTTTAAGTGATGTCCCCCAGAGGAGCGTGACCACTGGGTGTCATTGAGCGTGACAGGCCCGGGTGCATCAGGCTAATGTACGAGCATGTCATCATGGAGATGAGTCTCTCATGCACTCTATGTACACTGTCAGGGTCACAGCCAATCAAGACAAAAGATACCAAGAGACAACCCAGTGCGTCTTCATCTATAGGGATGTAACAACTGAAACACTGTCATATTGTAACTTCAAATATACAATAATATCGTGGGCCATCACAATATATTGCATTAGAAGTCTCGTTGCTTAAATTTTTTTCGTGCAGTAGCTAAAAAAGAGGGAACAGGCCATGATCTTTAGCTCCATTTCAGTGCAGACTACATGAAGAAATAACTAACTGTAATAACTAAGTGCTTTTAAATCTCAGTTCTTTTAAATATGTCTGAGGCTTATCAAGACAGTCAAGTCACAAATTTGTTATTCTCTATAAAATATTGTAAATGCATATCATGAAAATATCATACAGAGATTTGGATAAAATTGCATCCCTAATCATTTCTGTATAGATTGGCAATTTTGACAAAATCTCCACAAAATATTTTTTGGAGAACCCAATATTGCAAATTAGCCTTGACTATAAACACTGATATCTGCATCAGACTAATTAATTGTTAATCTTGGTTTGTTGTGTCTGCCCTTATTGAAATAAACAATAATTAAATAAGTACTTTTTATTCAAATGTTTAAAAGCCATATCAAAGTTTATATGATAAAGTAGCCCAACTATAAAAACTGCTTCAAATTATAAAAAAGAAAAGCAGTATTTTGCAGTGGTCTTTTGTTAGATTCATTAAACAATATTTGACAGTCCGTGTCATTAGTAATTTCACTAATGTATCACAGCTACACATAATGCTGAAGAAGCAAATATTGAGACATAACACTGTCTTCTTGTTTTAAATTTCATCAATCATCTTAAAATTTATAACAGCAGTCAGATTTAATTAGTCTGAAACAAATGCACTGAGGCATATGCCGGCACACTGTGTAGCAACAATACTAGACCAATAATACATAAATCACCTCGAAATTAATACATGAATTAAACAGGACAATGAGGAGAATGTTAACATTCAAATACAGTGGTAGACTTGTTTTTCCTTTACTCAATGAATGTTGATATTAATAAGATAAAATGGCAAATCAATGCTCATGCATCCTGTGTTATTAAAAAGTCACGTCTTTTGCTTTTTTTTCTCTCAAATAATGCAGCCCTAATGCCAATTATCAACCAGTACCAGTGCAGAGACTGAAAAAGCATTTCATTTATTTAAACAAAAATAAAACGAGATTAAACTGATCCAAATGTGTTATGTAGCTGTTATTTATTCCTCATCTTCAATGAGGATGTTGTAATCCAGTGGAAGGAATACTTTGAGGATCTCCACAATCCCACCTTCACCTCTTCCAAGGAGGAAGCAGAGGTTGGGGACTTGAGGGCGGACCTGTCCATCACCCTGGCTGAAGTTACTGAGGTGGCTGGCAAGCTCCTCGGTGGCAAGGCTCCCGGGGTGGATGAGACCCATCCGTCTTAAGTCTCTGGATATTGTGGGGCTGTCTTGGCTGACATGTCTCTGCAACATCACGTGGTAGTCGGGGACAGTGCCTCACAGGAATCCCTCCCGGTAAGGTCTATTCCAGGGTACTGGAGAGGAGAATCCAACCAATAGTCGAACCTCGGAACAGAAGGACCACTGTGGTTTTCATCCCGACCGTGGAACAATCTACGCTCTCCAATCTACGGGTGCTTGAGGGTTCATACGAGTTTGCCCAAGCAGTCCACATGTTTTTGTGGATTTGTAGAAGGCATTCGACCGTGTCCCTTGTGGTGTCCTGTGGGGGGGTCCTCGGGGCCCTTTGCTAAGGGCTGTCTGGTCCCTGTATGACCGGAGGAGGAACTGTGTTTGCAGTAAGTCAGACCAGTTTCAGGTGCATGTTGGACTCCGCCAGGGCTGCCCTTTGTCATCAGTTCTGTTCATTGTATTTATGGACAGAATTTCTAGGTGTAGTTAGGGGCTGGAGGGGGTCCGGTTTGGGGACCACAGGATCTCATTTCTGCTGTTTGGCCATACCAGCTTGTCAAAGCCTAAGCTAAGCAAGTCTGGGCCTGGATGGGAGACCAGTGGGAAAATCTGGTGCCCCCCTGGGGCACCAATCACAAAAATTGTTGTTGTGTCCTTAGGCAAGGCACTTCACCCATATTGCCTGGTATGAAAGTGATGTGTGCGTGAGTGATGGTGGTGGTCAGAGAGACCAATCGCGCCAATTGGCATGGCAGCCGCACTTCAGTCAGTCTGCCCCAGGGCAGCTGTGGCAACAATAGTAGCTTACCACCTCTGGATATGGAGTGAATTAATAATGTAAAGCATCTTTGTGACAAATGTCTGTGAAAAGCGCTATATAAATAAAAAACTTACTTGCTGTTTGAGGATGATTTTGTCCTGTTGGCTTCATCAAGCCAGGACCTGCAACGTGCACTGGGGCGGTCTGCAGCCGAGTGTGAAATGGCTGGGATGAAGATCGGCGCCTCCCAATCAGAAGCCATGGTTCTAGACTGGAAAAAGGTGTCTTGCCCTCTCCAGGTGGGTGGGGAGTCCCTGCTTCAAGTGGAGGAGTTCATGTATCTCAGGGTCTTGTTCATGAGTGAGGGGAGGATGGAGTGTGAGATTGACAGGCAGATCGGTGCAGAGTCGGCAGTGATGCGGCCGCTGTATCGGACCGTTGTGGTGAAGAGGGAGCTGAGCCGAAAGGCAAAGCTCTCGATTTACCGGTTAATCTACGTTCCTACCCTCACCTAGGGTCATTAGCTTTGGGTAATGACCGAAAGGATGAGATCGCGCATACAAGCGGCAGATATTAGTTTTCTTCGCAGGGTGGTTGGCCGCTCCCTTAGAGATAGGGTGAGGAGCTCAGTCACATGGGAGGAGCTCAGGGTAGAGCTGCTGCTCCTCCATGTCGAGAGGAGCCAGCTGAGGTAGCTCGGGCATCTGTTCCGGGCATATCCCACCAGAAGGAGTCCCCGGGGAAGACCTAGGACACATTGGAGGGACTATGTCTCTTGGCTGGCCTGGGAATGCCTTGGGGTCACCCCGGAGGAACTGGAGGACATGTCCGGGGTGAAGGAAGTCTGGGAGTCCCTGCTTAGATTTCTGCCCCCGCAATCTGGCCCCAGATAAGCAGAAGAAAATGGAAGTCGATATCTGATACCAGTATTGGATCACTGCACCCCTAATGCCAAGTAAACTATATTTTATTTTACTGAAAATGTAACCAAACATGACTTTGTGCAGTTTATACAGAATTCAGAGGAACTGTAAGTGTTCAAGTACTTGGTGACCCTGCTCCATATGATGCCATAAAAAGTGTCGAGTTCACCACATTAAGAGGATGTGAGTGAAACCTGGCCCCGCCCTTTCTACTCTGCTGAGGTTTAAACTCACTGCATCTTTGCTCCAGATGATCCAATAATTCACCTCAACCAGTAAACAGGAGCCTGCTCTTTTACTAGGCCTCTGATACTGAAAGTGGTTTTGCTTATAAAAGTCTGATTGGAAACGTGTGAAGGAATGCATTTACAGACAAGCAGTTAATCCTCACAGTTGTTTGGTGCTCTATTTTTGTAACATTAATAAAGAATGATTTAATAAAAAATAATTAAATCCAAGATATTCTAACATTGAAAAACACCAAATATTCAATATCTGTGACTTTTTGGTCCTGACCGATCGTTCACTACCATGTGCCACTTTTAATTCTTGTTTATAAATTAGCCCTCACGCTCTGCTCGGGGTCACATAGACCCAAAGAAACATTTTTTTAAAAAGTATTTTCTCGCCTGGCGATAAAATAAATGAAAATAATTTTTGGGGTCTGATTGACCCGCCCCAAGAGAGCGGGATGGGAAAAAAAATGTTTCTTCAGGTCTATGTGACCCAGAGGAGAGCATGAGGGCTTTAGGAAAAACAACTTCTGAAAACATTCGTATTACACTCAAATCTGAATTTTGATGCACACTTCAATTTATATACTGACTGAGGTAAGAAGTAAATTGAAGCTATTTTTACAAACTTCATACTTCCCTGTGATTGGTTAAATATACCTTTCACTCACAATCAGAGTGAGGCTGACCAATAGGAGGAGTGGGTGGGGAAAGTTACCTGTACTTGAATGTAGTGCTTTCATTAAAGGTCCTTTGCAAAATGAGGATGAAGATTAACGAGGATACAACATTATAACAGATCAGAAAATAAAAAGCCACTCTGTACAGGATGGTGCTTCCTGTTTTGCATTATGGAACCTGCCAAAGTCATTGAAAACATTATTATGATTTACATATAAAATGAGGTGATGGTCAGTGGTGCAAATGAACCATTAAAAATTTAAGTGTTTTTTCCCTAGACTTTTTTCAACACATATTTTTTTCAATTTCCACTTTA